AGAGGAGGAGAGAGAGAGAGGATAGAAGAGAATAAATAGATAGAAAATATATATATATATATATAAGATATATATAATATATATATATATATATATTATATATATATATACATGATTACCATCCAAGCCGGGGAATCTGTTTTGAAACCAACTGGATGATGTGAATCAAATATGGTAAAAATATAAAGCTGCGGGTGTTCCATATCATTCATTTGGCATTGTATGGTGAATCCGGTTGAAATGTGCAAGTAAGCGCATACATATCGGTAATATTGAATATAATTCATGCTATGAAGGCTTGGAACGGACCGGTTTCTGGATTTGTGAAAGGAGTTTTACGATTGGGTGGGGTCCTAACTCCATGGACTGGATAAGACAAAATCCAAAAAATTTAATCCGCAAAGACCTCTGCTTTCCAGTGGAACCTGGCGACCGAAAGAGATTAAACACCGTCTAGTAGCTGGACTTTAAGACTACTGTCATGTCTCAGGATGAACGGCGTCGAACAGTGCGGCTGTCCCGGGTACTGAACCCCCTCCCCTGGGTACTGACCGGTACGCGGGTGCGGGGACAGTCGCAGGTCGCGGCGGGTACTGACCCTGACCTCTCCCCCTCCCCCCCCCATTCCCCTCGGGTACTGACCGGTACGCAGGTGCGGGGACAGACGCAGGCGGCGCCACCGGCCGGCCGACTCTCGCAGATGCCGTAGTGAGGGCAGTGCTTCTTCTCACAGCCCTCTGCGGAGACGCACCGATCAGGTCAGCTGGTGGGACGGCCCCGGTGGGGTGTGGCGGTGTGGACGAGTCTCCAAAACACTTGTGTGGATGTGAAAGACCATGTAAGTCAGACAGATTAGCTCCTGAGACAGGCTCATCCGAGCTCGAGTGAAATGAGGGAGGGGCAGCGAATCAGATGAAAGAAGTCGTTTCGGGACGTGCTTAATGATGTTTCAGAGAAGAATGATGAAGAAACCTCACTCGCAGCCTTTATTGGGATCTGAGACACGCCTATTGGTGTGAGGAAATTGGGGACAGTGATGCAGGCATGATATCGCACGCATAGCTGCTTGACATGCTCAGATAACTCACGAAGCGATTGGTTGCAGATAGCAGGCACTCAGATCACGAACAATGTCGTTCTGATGACTGCTTTAATGCAAAATGAAAAAAACGTGGATTTTGAAAAATGGCACGGGCTGTTGCGATTTTGATCGGTTATCCTGCACAACGTCAGAAGCGCCATTTTGAATGCCGGGTACAGGAAGGTTAAGGCAGACTCCTTTAATTTGTGGAAAGCTCCCTCCACTTGCACCGTCAGTCAGCTGGCCGGCTCTGCCAGCCGGCTCAATGGGACCTGACCCGCCCGACGCGAGCAATTAGAATCATATTCCTCTATCCGACCGGCGCATTTGGATCGCAGAGGATGTGCCAGAAAGGCCACCGCTCGTCCAGTCGAGCGGCGGCGGACGTGACCCGACTGCCGGCGCGCCGCCCGCCCCGGCGATAACCCAATCCCAGCGAGATTTGAACGGAACGATTCGGCGCCGATCTTTCCGCATTGGCTACCATTAAATCTGGCGGAGAAAAACGCCAGTAGAGAACATCGCGGCCCTCCTTCCGCTCGTTTGCACACGGGACATGCGGCCCGAGGGCGGTGCGACTGCCACGATCAAGCAGGCGAACAGGAGACGTACACATCTTGCTAGTGCATGCGCTTATGCATGTAATCAAGCAAGCGCCATTTTCGAAAGCGAAAGGTAATAGGAGGTTAGAAGCACATACCGTCACCAACTAAGACTGCTGGTTCTGCGTCTTTTTTCGCCTGCAGACTGCCGTCTATAGAAGCATGACAGTGTAGGTGAAAACGTGGTTATACAACGACGAGGTGCGATGAGATTTAACTGTTGATTAATCCACATGTAGTACAGGCGGCATTGTCAACTTCCCCCGTATGTGTGGTAAAGAAAGCAACAGAACTACTCGGGCTTCAATTCAATAAAACTTGCAGAATTCATCGGGACACTTGCTTTGCCATATCACTGGTCTCAGGGACTCCAATTAAATGACGAAACACGGCTTCGAACGACCGATTCAGCAGATCTAGGCGGGAATCGACGGATGGTCGGAACCACTGGATCATTAAAAAGCTCACCCCGAGACGCCCAGCAGCTGCCGCACGCGCTGAAGACACACCCGGCGCCCGCTTCCGCGGCGATACTCACTGCACATGCCCGTGTACTGGACGCGCAGGGGCAGCTGCTTCTCGCACGCCTCCAGCCGCAGCTTGCACTCGTTGTTGTAGGAGGTGCCGTCCGTGGCGCAGACGGGACTGTACTCGCCCGAGCACTCCGGGCACTCGCAGTGGGGAGTGCCCGCGCCGTCCGAGCGGCACACCCCGCCGTGCTGGCAGCTGTGCGTGGCGCAGGGGTCAGAGGTGCCTGCCGGAGTGCACACAGAGGTCAGTCAGGCCAGCAGCGGTGGGCAAGCGTGAAGGGCGTGTGAAGGGAGCGGAAGGGGAAAGGTCAGGAAAGCGGGCGGGACATTAGGAAGGGCGACGGCTGCTCGTCAGCAGATCTATGTATGCCTGAGGAGCGGAACCGTCTAGCTGCGGACATCGAAGATGTCCATGGGAGATGGACAACAGAGCATGATTCTTGAAACAGAGTACAGATCCCTGAAATCGGGCAGCGCGTTTTGAGAGGCGTACAGTCCGTGTCGTTAATCATGGCAGTCGAGCTGATGTTCCAGCCGGCAATGATGACGACGGATGACAGAGAGACGGCCTCCTGTTTCAGGGATGAGCCGACCTCCGACGCGGCGCTCGGAAGCACCGGAGCCGCCTCTGTGCGGTCAGCCGCGGCGTGCGCCCCCCTCGGTGGCACATCACCTTGCCGGTCGTCAGAAATGGTAAGATGTCGGCATGCCAGTCAGGATCCGGTCGCACGTTCCCGAAATACGGCCCCGCCCTCCTTCCTGTTCGACAATTTATGGAAATGAAAACTGCTCCTGGCCCTGAGCTGAGAAGTTTAGCCTGCCGAGCGCGTCACGCGGCTGCCGGCGGCCAATAAATAACTGCGCGGCGACGTCCTCTCCCTCTCCGGCCAATTCGGCTGCGATGACGTCACGCGATGACGGCAATTTGCGTGCTGTAATTCTCCATGGCGAAACGCAGAGCAGCGCGAAAGTGTCGGGCGCGGCGGCGGAGGTGATCCGAGTTCAGCCGGTCGCGGCGTTCGTCGGCTGCCGGTGACGGCTCGCCAACGCCACCAAACGACCCGCTCAGCGGGCTCACCGCGTCGGCCCGATGGTCCAACTTTCTGGCGGCCGCTCCAGCCGCGTCGAAACCGTCTAATTTACAGGATCGGCGCGGCCAGAGAGCGCTGTAAACACCCCGAATTATGGAACGGTAAATTTGGGGCTGGCACACTGATCAGGTGCACACTTAGCCGCCACCATCGCTGGCGATGATTTACATTGATTGCGGCCATCGGAGATTAGAAAGTCGATGTCAGTTACTCATGGCACCGAAGGCAGCTAATCGCTGACCAATGGGATCTGCAGCATTTGATATGGCCCACAATAACGGAGCAGCGATTCGGCTCGCCCCAACACAAAATTTCCAAACCAGGAGCAGGCGAGAGAAACAGCCAGCGAAGTGGGCTGCAGTGTTGAGGCAGGCGACGTTTGCAAGGTGATATCTAGATAATCCATTGGATAATTCGGCAGTGCATTGAATGGTAAGTCAGACACTCGTTCAGATGCTAACGGTGTTGAAAGCTTTGCTTGTCTGGAAGAAGTGAACAAATTCATCGAGCCTTGCTCGCGCGGCTACCAGCTGCTTCCAAAATCCAGTTGGGGCTCGCAAAAGATATTCACTGATATCAGTGATGTGATCATATCAGATGATAGCATGATCATCAGTGATTTCCACAGACGCTTGAAAGGGCCACAATATTGTGTCTTTAATGACATGCATCATTAACACAGCTTGAATTTATTACTTGGCTTTTCCATGCCCATGTAAGAAGCTAAGCTCAGAGGCGCCTCTGAGTACCAAAAATTCAGAGGCGCGACGAGCAGCGCATTGCAGTTTTTGTTCCGTTTAAAGTTAAATTAAAATCTAATATCTCAGTAGCGCCAGTGTAAATGAACTGCTTCATTTGGGCTGCCGCGTCGATTGGTGTGAGCATTTACCAGCAGGAGCAGGTTTTTTGCCATTACATACGTGGATTAATAATCGAAGCATTATTTACGAATACAAGACACGTATGCCCGCCATCAGCCCTGCACATCTCAACGAGACTACCACTCCCTTTGGCCGGCAGGGTGCTGTTAGGCCCACGCTCGCTAATTCGCTCGGTCTCTCCGTGGACTCTTCAGCTGCTGACACGTCATCGGGTCGGGTCGGCATGGTGCCGCCAGGCCCACGCTTGCTGATTCGCTCAGTCTCTCCGTGGGGTCTTCAACTGCTGACACGTCGTCGGGTCGAGTCGGGTCGGGTCGGCATGGTGCTGTCAGACCCACGCTCGCTGATCCGCTCGGTCTCTCCGTGGGCTTTTCAGCCGCTGACACGTCATCGGGTCGGGTCGGGTCGGGTCGGCATGGTGCCGCCAGGCCCACGCTCGCTAATTCGCTCGGTCTCTCCGTGGGCTCTTCAGCTGCTGACACGTCATCGAGTCGGGTCGGGTCGGCATGGTGCCGCCAGGCCCACGCTTGCTGATTCACTCGGTCTCTCCGTGGGCTCTTCAGCTGCTGATACGTCATCGGGTCTGGTCGGGTCGACATGGTGCTGCCAGGCCCACGCTCGCTAATTCGCCCGGTCTCTCCGTGGGCTCCTGAGCTGCTGACACGTCGTCGGGTCGAGCCGAGTTGGCAGCTGCAGGCAGCGTGATCGGCCGGCGCCGGCTCAGCGACCGCTGCCGCTCAAGGGGTTACGGGATCAAGACAACAGCCATGCCCAGGATGTAGACGAGAGTAATGATTATTTAGATCCCACTATATCCTGCAGGTTATTTTTTTTCCGTAAATGGCGGAAAGACGTGTCCCGTAGGATTAAAACAGCATGTCGTGCTTGACGTGTTCACTACAACCTATTCCGCAAAAAGCGGTTACAGGCCTATGACACGACAGTCTTTACTGGGCCGGCCTCGTTGGCAAGCTATGGTCGGTGGATTTCAAAACCGAGCTGCACCGTTGATTCGTCTGTCGCTGCGTCACATCTGCGCCAATATCGCCGCCGAGCGATCTTGGCGAGGCGCCGCGCCGTTTTTGCCGCTATGCCACCTTTTGTGTCGGCGACATGGCTGAACGGCGTCGATTTTTAGCCGGTCCGCAGTCACTTGAAGACGATCACCACCGCGGTCTTGAAGAAAGCGGGCGCAGGCGGGGAAATGTGACGCAGGATCACGCCATCCAGCGAGGCGAATCGCACTCAATGGCGGCGGCCAGCGTTCATGGGCAGCTCATTGGTGGTGCTCGTGTTTCGTTTGGGCCTTAACCAACGCAAAGCTGCGCTGTAACGATCTCCCCGGTAATGACAGGCGCACGACCACAGGTAATTACATTTGGTGGCAGAGAGAAACGGTACATGCCGCTGTGGTGCGCTGTAAAAGAGAATTCCTGCCCCGTGAATGCCTAGGTGATGCTGCATTGGGTATAATTCATCATTGTGGAGCACGTCCTAGCACCGCGGTAATACAACAGCCGGGGTGGATAGAATGGGAGTGCGGGGGGAAAGATATTGCTGAAGCTCAACAGCCCACCATCGTCCGGTGTAAAGCTGAGCATGAAAAGCAGGCATGTAAGAAGAAATGGCATAGACATGGAGGTTAACTGCTGGAAATGGCAGCAAACTCGGACTGCAGCGTGTACTGCATGAATGCTCCACCACAAAATGAGGACGTTTCCGCTTGTGGCACGACTTTGCGCGGCTTCTGGGAACTGTGTCTGCGATGCCAACTCGGCATTATCAAAAATCCGGAAACGTCATCTTCAGACTTGAGCAAGTCCACGAGAGATTCTGTGTGCACATCATTGTTCAAGAGTCAGGAGTTTGTCGCTTCATGTCAAGAATGAGTTGACTGAAGAGTTTGGCGACCGTCGGTCCTTTCATGAATAGCTTTAAAAGTCTAAGGCAGATGTATTAAAGCCCAGACGGCTGAAGGCCCCCTCCCCTCCATGGACGATGAATGGGGGCAGCCTGAAATGTCTTACATATAATCATCGATTATAATGATCGGTATTTTTCGGGTGTCTTAACTTCAAAGGTAATCTCACGGCTAGCGTATAATCCTTGTCCCGACACTTATGTGCATCTGTGACATTTTATGGTCAGTTTTGGTTAAAATTTGGTACCAATTGCGAAAAGCCGGGAACGTGTCTGCCATGAGCTCGCATTACAGAAGGTTTGCTTAAAAGACAGTAGTAAAAGCCTTATTCCTCGGAGGGAAATCAGGAAAATGGAGATATAGAGGGTTGATATTTTGGCAACATACCTTTCTCGAACCAATAGCAGAAGCTATTTGCTACCATTTTGAAGTTTCTGCTATTGTTTCGACAAAAGCATGCTGCCAAAATATCAACTCATCCATGTCTTTACTCTCTTGGCTTTTCTCCGAGGAATAAGGCTATTACCACTGCCTTATCTATGTGAATAATGTTCCTCGCTAATGCACCGAACTACTTACGTAAGGTATGTTTATGATTACCCTGGTGACCCAGCGCTGATTCCTCGCATGCAAAATAACAGACGTGCCAAGCGTGGGTACCCGACAATTAGACAAGATTAAGTATACCAGCCAGATGCTGATAAATAGCGGGTTTCGTGTGGTTGATGCCTCGCTAAGTACCCTACTGTGTCTCCATTTTAATGAGAGGCTAGGTTAATTGGCATCTTAATGCATCTGAACATAAGACCGGAATTATACCGATGGTTCGGAATATCAGTACAAGAGTGACGTGACAGAAATAGCCACATAATTTACAAGCTGAGCCTTTTCATCTCTAGTCCAAGCCCCCGTTCTCCCAACCGTCAAATAGGTCAGGATTGTAGACGCCAGATCTGACCCACTTCTTTCAAGTGCAACATTACTCATCAACCGTCATTGCTAGACTCAGCGCGGTGCGAAATCTCCCGATTTGTTTCGTCAGTTATGCTAAGATGACATTCTCCACCAATGAATTATCAGTGTCATGTTCGGCCCGTGTGTACATCTAACGCATGCCTAATCAATCAAAGCATGACAAATTATGTGCTGTAAAACGCATGCAACTCGTTCGTAGTGATGTATGCATGAACAATACACTATTCCGTAAGGCATGTAACTATGAGCATAAATACACCGCTTGCAACTATCTTGCAGTCACCGCAGGGGTCACGGCACCATGCGGCAGCCAACCTGCTCACTCACACCAGACTCCCTGACATTGTCACGGAAAACCTGCAGTCTCAACCCAGAGTCTGTGACATCATGCGGCAAGGAATCTGCACACTCACCCCAGACAATGTGACATCGCGCGACAGGGGACCTACGTACTCACCGCAGACTATGTGACATCGCGCAACGGGACCTACACACTCACCGCAGACTGTGACATCGCGCAACAGGGGACCTACGTATTCACCGCAAACCCTGTGACATCGCCGCGACCGGGGACCAGCACACTCACCGCAGATGCCGTAGTGTCGCACGTGCATGGCGCGCCCGCTCCTGCAGCGTTCCAGCTCCATCAGACACGTGTTGTCGTACGTGCGGCCGTCGCTGGCGCACACGGGTCGCACCACGGCTTGACAGGCGTCCTGGCACGTGCAGCGCGCCACGCCATCGCCGTCGATGGAGCACTGCTCGTGCTCGCTGCACTGCACTGACGAGCACGGGTTGGCACCTGCCAAACGTACGCGCCCGACATTATTGGTGCATTCGCATGTAGGTACATGCATGCGTGGTCCATGAGAGCGCTAGACAAGGCTCACACGCTTGACGTTTTTACGTTTGTTTTTTGCTTCGCCGGAGAAGAGCCTCACATCCTTCTCCTCGCCGTAAAACGTAAGCATGGCCAAAGGGAAGACGCCATTGGGTAGCTCCCGTTGAGGCATATAAAATGAGCTCATGAAAATACCGAGGACCTCTTACTGGTTAAACTAGGCCAATGTGGTGCTGATTATAAGTTTATAAAAGTAATTATTGGAGGCATATCAACTATAAATACCAATTCCGCTCTCGCTATCTCTCTCTTCTCTTCTCTCTCTCTCTCGCTCTCTATCTCTCTCTCTCTATCTCCTCTCTCTCTCTCTCTCTCTCTCTCTCTTCTCTCTCTCTCTCTCTCTCCTCTCTCTTCTCTATCTCTCTCTCTCTCTCTCCTCTCTTTTCTCTCTCTCTCGCTCTCCTCTCTCTCTCTCTCTCTCTCTCTCTCTCTCTCTCTCTCTCTCTCTCTCTCTCTCTCTCTCTCTCCTCTCTCTCTCTCTCTCTCTCTCTCTCTCTCTCTCTCTCTCTCTCTCTCTCTCTCTCTCTCTCTCTCTCTCTGTCTCTCACTCTTTCTCTCTTTCTCTCTCGACATGTACATTAAACATAGCATAAGATAAAGCTTCGTATTAAATAATTACAAGTTTCGTCTTAAATGATCGGACAAAGCAGAATAGTCCTCGATGCACTAAATCATCCATTGGTAACATGCTGCCAGTGGGTGCAGCTTTTACTGGTCAATTTAGGTCTCACCAGTCAAACGTCTTGTGCAGATTCAACCGCATCATCTTAAGAACTCAGTATTGTAAGGCAATAAAATGAATGGCATGCGTTCAAGACCGCTGACCAGCTGAATCAAATATTGGTTCTTGCTGTACAAAAAAGTGGATCTGTGCCATGGAGTGTACAAACAAATATTCACACCAATATATCCACATTCGGAAAGCTATTTCGGCCTGGGTTTGTTATGCTTGATAAGGGAATGGTATCATGTAGTATAAACATGCGGCAAATCAATCTGCGAAGGCCTTTAGAAACAAGCGTTGTACATCAGACGTACCAAGTGTTTCAGAATATGTTTTAAAATAAGCTGTGCGATGCTCACGACGATCACAATAAAGCTGCATCTGCAGAGTGAATACGTCTTCTTAAAAGGGTAAATTTCTTAATTGCTTGGTGTCATGCCACCAACACAATGTTCTTAACATCTTCGATGCTCGAATTCCAGTAGCAGCCATAATTGCATAGGTTAATATGGCCTACAGGCGTCGCGATTAGATGATGATTATTCAGGAAGAGACACAGCATAATCATACACACAGGTTATTTTCACGCGCGCATTTTCATCTGGGGCTATATCACCTGCTTCAGTACTTCCAGGTAGGCACCGACGTTCACTGGGATGGTCGGGCGAGACAAGTGGATGATTATCATCTCTTAGATAGCTACCGCCCGACACACCATCTCCTGCCATCCCTGGACTTTACCACCACTTCTGGGTCACCGGGGACCAGTATCGTTCATTTTGCTAGTTCGGAAACACAAAATAGTTGTTATCACTCCGCATCACCTGATCTTCACAGACATCAGGCTGACAGAACAGTCATGGGGAAAACCCCTCCCTTGCCCCTTTTTTGCTCGTCTTATAGGCAGCCCTCGTGCGAGGACTGTATGGGACCAGCCCAGCCGCCTCCTTGCCACCCGCCAACCTGTCCAGATAGATTTTGGACTTTATATATTTTGTTATATTTTGTGGATATATTTTGCCATTTATCGTCAGGAGACGGACTGAGATGGTTCGTGACCTAGCGACACTAGCCTGGATTTAGAGGGCACATAGCACCGCTTTAAAATGCTGGTGTCAAGAATGCAGCGTGGATGCAGCTTAAATTTCATCCTTAGCCGCCGTGTCATAAGACGGTTTTGTACCACTCCAAATTTCAGAATAATCTTGGTCTGCTGCTCCGTGGTAACACATTTATCTGCCTTGCGCATGCCTAGGCGTGCCGGGACTCTTGTATAAATACGATCACATTTTTGAGGTAGTGTGCAGAAGCGAAGTGGTGCGCCTGTCAATTTCTTTGTCATTGTTATTATTCGAGTGGCTCGCGAGTACGTACACGCGACGTTGTTTTCGCACAGCCATTGTTATAACGCAGCACCTGCTGGCTACCTGCGCTGTAACGGTATGGCGGCTGCTGAAATTTGAACGTTGAAACCCGTAACGAAAAGATGCATTAGCTGCACAAAACTTATTAGCATGGGATATCCGGATATTGTGTATTCAAGAATACTTTTTCTGGAGAATGAATCTTGCTGTGCTCGTGACACGTGCATGTTTGATGCCTAAAATCTCCGGTACATTAACGGACGACTGCAGTACGCACAAGAGGACCAGTAACGCCTCAACAAAAAGCCATCAGCCGTGCCCTAAGAAAGACAGAGTTTTGATATTATTCCAGATTGTGTAAACACATCGACAACTCGCTTAAGTTATTCACAGATAGCTTCTGGGGCTACAGCTGGGACCCCTCGGCCGGCCAAGACTAGAAAAAGAAGCAAGGCCGAGACCATGGAAAAGGCTGACTTGAAAATCGGTTATGAACACATTGGCTTTGCTAAGTGCACAAAGGTAACCCCGAAATGCTTATTTAATGCGCATGGAAAGCGTAAATTACAGATTCGTGTAAGACTGTTATGTCTGGTAAGGTCACAGCGATAGAATGTCGGCGGACTGCTTGGTTTGTTTCGCAAACTATGAATATGACCCAACACACAACTAAAAAGATAATACACGCTACATGCATTGAATCGGCAAGCTCCACGCTGCACAAAAATTAAAGGAGTGAGATGATTCAGAGTATGCCGCTAATGTCTGCGCATTTGTCTAGACAGTGCCTAGTTGGTAAGACCTGTCTCCCTAGCTGCCAGTCATGAAATGCCACGAGAAATGAGAAGAGTCTCGACATATCTACGAGAGGTTCCAAGCGACACACAATCTTTATCTCAGCTGTCTTTGTCGCGCGGACTTGTGTTATAAATGTCTCTGGGTCAGAGTTTAATTAACAGCGCCTGGCAGTCATAATTCTTCGATTAATTTAATCACGACTTGGCTCGCGTCTCCGAGAAAGTGCACCACCCGGGGCGTTTAGACCAACAGCTCTGCTAGCACCCGGAGAGCTCCCCTAGGCGCCCTACTTTATCTTCGTTAGTCTGGAGCTTCTAAATAGGAGGGGCCACCACACGGTAGAGCCGGCGGTGTAGCAACCATCTCCGAATCTCTGTCGCGAACTCTTGTCTTGGTCAAGTGCTATAAATATATAATACACCATACGCAAGCCGTTGAGCAAATCATAATAAACACGCGATATAGGACAGGCAGAAATGGATCCATGGCTCAGCCAGCATAATTCAGCTCATTGTTCCGCCTTTTGCTGGAATCGGCCTCCAGCCGAACTGTCTCGGCCATCTAAGAGGCCATTGGAACCACAAAAAATGACGCTAATGTGAACCGGGACTCAGGAAACGGCCTTTAGGACCGCTGGCTGCCTATAATGCAACCTTAGTGTGTCCGCTCACCCATCGAGAAGCACCAGACCCCTCCCCCCGCCCTACTGTCTCGCGTTTCCACTATCACAACCGTACATATTCTACATACCACGTTCCCTCATCGCCCGCATCCGTTTGAACTTACGGCCACATTTCTTCAGTGAGGTTTAGGTGCCTTTTTCCGAGTTTTGTACCAGCTTTATCGCTGCAATATTGTCGACTCTTCACAGCCGTTTTCTTTATGTTCGATACCAATTCCAGACGTCCACGACAGATTGCAGATGGTGACGAAGGCTGACATATTTGTGAGGTAATTCCCGTGGCAGCTTTGTATTTAACTTGCACTTGATATCATGGCGCACAGTGAACATATACACGATATTGAGACCTTCCATTCGAAGATCGAGCCGCCTGGGTGCTCTTGGAAAAGTTATGACGGATTTCGGACGACAGTGTTTAAGGAAACGGTCACGTCGCCAGTATAAATTGCGCCGAGAGTTATTCGCTCACTCTAATGATCCTGGCTGTCAGCGGAAAGTCAAGCAATTAATCGAGATCAGATGCTCGAGCGCTGGCAGCGCCGGAATTGTCTAGCCCTTGAGCACCACCTCGCGGATATCAGAGGCACAGACTAGCACGGAAGCAATGGGTGCTGTCTCTACAGAGCAGAGCGGTTAACAATAAATGACGGCGTCGTATTTGATCTTAATGCAATAGGGCAACACAAGGGCCCAGAGAGCGCAATTATATAGGATCCAGGTTTATCTGACGTTGCCATACGGGGAAGTAAATACATGCATCATGACGTGTTTCAGGGTTATCAATCACAAGCAACGATGCGGAAAATACTTGATGAACGCGAAATGCTGAAGGTTTAGCACGATATTCACAAGAATCAGGATATTTTGTTTCTTCACGACTGATTGAATGCCGTTACTCAGTATGGTCAGTATGGCACATACAATTTGTTGTAAAATTATTTTAATGGTTTGTATTTGTATTAATAAGTCTACAAGTAAGCATGCTTCTAAACAAAGAAATGAACTGAAGCAGGAAAGTGGCAAAAATTTGACTGAAGGTTGCATTTGTTTGCAACACATGCCAGTTTTCAACATTTGTGCGAACAATGAAGTTGGATTGTGTCACTACGGAAGCAAATGCGACGGATTGTTGGCTGTAATGTGTGGAGGAATATCAGCGAAAACTGTGACCTCTTTCTGCTTATGTTTAAGAAAAGGCGGATAAGAGGAACATTCCTACAAAATATCGTCCATTATTGTTTGAACTGAGCACTGCATTATGCATTCACGGGCTGTGTCGTCAGACTGCAGATGAAATTATGTGTATATTTATATTTGTATATGTATATTCATA